ACTGAGTGAGAATTTTTTTTTATGTTTTAAATATGCTCCTCCAACACTAATGCATTGTTGTAGCACTGTCAAACCAACGCACACACCAGATGATATATTTTTAAGTAATCTAGTTGTTACTTCTTTCTATATTTAATCAAAAATCATTCAGCCTTCTTACTCTGTCTTCTTATAGTACATACCTACACCACACAGACTGTCCACACTGCCTCTGGCATAGTAGATGGTTTTTGAGTGTGTCTCCTATATGTCCTCCATATGGATCTGGCTAGCATTGTCTTCTACAGAACTGGAGTCTACAACTTTAGCTCTGCCCAGGACAACAACGATATAGCCATTCAATATCTATGTTGTGGATTTTCTGGAATAGATTTTTTTAAAGGAGAGTTTTTAACACCCCCCTCCTCTGGATCTAAATATAATTGTTGAGTGTTTGAATAAATTAATCACAGCATTTTTGGAGGACAATGGGCAGGGCTATGTCCTCAGATTATGTGTTTTTTCTTCAAATATATGTTTCTACCTGCAAAACAAAACAACATGATGGTGGCTGATTCCTCAGTTACTTAAGGATAAAACAATTCTCACTATGGATACTACTTAAGATATGTTCAAAAATAGTTAGTTGAATCCAAATGAGATCAACCCATTCTTTAGGAAACAGTGCAATTATACATTTGCAATGAGACCTGATAAAGCCACCTGGGAAGAATCTGTGGGTTTCTTCTGTACCTGGTCAGACTTTGTTTATCCTTGCTGAGAGCCTTATCAGTTTTCTTAATGTGAGAGTGATCAATTCATGCATTGCTTCCTCCTGCTGGTGATAAGCCTACTGATGGCAACCAAGTATTTCCCCTTAACTGCCTTCTGTCTTACTGGCTTCATCTACCTCTTCACAGCAGGTATGCACATACAAGGTGCCTACTCTGAGTCAATCCATCCATTGTCTTGTATATTGTTATTTTATGGATCAAGGTTTTTCAGAATATTTCTCATACATTTTCTGTACACGATCATCTAGAGTTGTCTAGTCTGTGTCCACTCTTCCCATTTCTGGACTAGCCTCTTTTAAGGTTGATCTGTAGTGATTCTTCAACAATGGTTACTGCAGGGTTGAAGTAGATTTGAATTCAAATATGTGACTGAATTAGTTGGTTCAGTCAGCAAGCCAAGGACAAAGAGTGCAACCCTCTCCCTCTTCTAAGGATTTTTGTCTTCTAGTGTCCATTTCATACCAAACCTAAAAGGGAATTAAAGAGTAGAGGAGAAGTGTCTGTGTCCAGAACTAAAGAGTAGAGATGTGTCTGTGTTCGGGATCACACTTCCAAAGACAGATATGGAAGAAGAGAGAGAGTCTAGGCACAATGGCTCATTAAAGCACACTTTAGTAATCAATGAAAATTAGTGGACCTTTTATTCAATAGCCTTTTAGCTGGCTCACAGTCATCCCTATGTTTTCAGTCTATGCACTAGTAAAGAGTTCATTGTTGTTGGTTGGATGGAGGGGGAAGGATGGGAAAGAATTTCTGATTTTGACATCAACAGAGAAGTTTTTTTTTTTTTCTAAAGAGGAGTAAATGTTTTTGGAAAATAAGCTTAGGACTGTCTTTTAAAATATATTTTATGATAAGGGAGAGAGTCAGAATGAGGAGATAACTCTGGGAAACAATGTATAAGCGCCTAGGGCCTAGATTTCTAATGTCTGATGGCAGACGTAGTATGAATGTCAGCAGCAATGTCATTCACAATAGAAACGGCTTTGTGTCCGAAAACTGATAGGTGCTATTTCTATAATGAAAACAATATTGAGGGCTACTGCATAGCACTGACTGCTAAATATGCTGGCTTGATAGCTGAAATATTAACATTCTTCTGCTGACTCCTAGACACCACAATCAAGGTGTTACTGGCTCGTAAACAGGAGTGGAAAGCACTTCCTCATACATTTGCTTCACGCCTGAAAAACAAGCAATTTAGCAGAAGACATCTGGACACAAAACTTGAACAGAACTCAGAGCCCATCAAAACATGGATTGGATGGTTGAGAGTCTGGCTGCTAAGCAACACACATCTTACATCCACAACAGAGTTGTAAAAATGAACTGCTTGTGCCAACTCTGGGTATTTCTCATTGAAAAGAAATAACTATGAAAGTTATTTCTTTCAAATGGCCAGCCTGAAAATACCTGACATGCATGGACAGAGGAATCCCAGTCTCTCCTCTTCTAGACTTCTTGGTTTCTTTTTTTTGAAACATTAGGTAGAGATTAAACTGCACATGCAGAAAACTTTCAGATGAGCATTGTTCTGTATTGAAATACTTAAACAAGCTACCTAATAGTCCTCTTTTAAATTAGAATAATGTATTCATATTGTAAGTGTTCTTCAAAAATTTAATTTTTTTGAAGTTAGATGAACTTATTAGAGATCAACCACAATCCAAATGGTATTTGCTTTATATAAGTATGCTTCTGCTTCGCAAGGAGCACAAGGAAGATTAAAGTAAAATATTCCCCATGTGTAAACCAGATTGGAAATTCTGTGGCAATTCTTAGTAAAGTTAAGTTAGGGTTGGCAAGGTGGCTGTCTCAGGGGGTAAAGTCACTTACCACTGAGCTTGACAACCTAAGCTTTATTCCTGGGACCCACATAGAGGGAAAGAATCAATTCCCATAGGTTTTCCTTTTTGACCCCTTCTTGCATGCTATGATACATGCCCTCTCCCATTAATAGAATGTAATTAAGATTTTTTTTAAATTAAAACTAAGTAGAAGATTGAACTTACTTCTATCTTCCTTTTGTCTAGCTAAAATGTAATGATGTGTTTTCCAGACTGGGAAACAATTACTCAAATACAAAACCTTACCAGCAACAGCAATAGACATCATTTAGAATCACTGATTGGTTTCCTTTTAGCTGGGAAATAATTGGGGAAAGTATGTAAAAAAGAACAAATGGTGAGAGGTCCTCTAGTTATTTTAGAATTATGCACTACAATTTTGTATTAAACTGAAAGAAAATTATTATGACAACTGGCAGTGTACTACTGCCTTTTGGTGTGGTCTGTCTACAAAAGTATTTTTTTCCTCTTTCTTTAGGGAACCTCCTTCTACAAACTCTCCCAAGCCTCCTTCTTGGCAGGCAGTCATTATATAGCTACACAAGGAAATCCAGACGTGGAAAGTTGCTTATGAAAAAAAAAAAAGGACTTGGAAATCAAGTGAGAACAGGCTAGTTTTACAGACAAACTTCATAGGGCAGCCTTGAAAATGACTGTTGCACCATTTCAAAAACTAGTGCTACTGGGCAGAGGAATTAAAGGAGGGTTTCTAGATCATCTCTTAAGGAGACGAAAGCTTCTTCATGGCACACAAGGCTGTCATACCTATTTCTCCCTGGATTCTTCTTTTGGTATCTTTGCTGGTTTGTGGGTTACAATTATGTCTACCTCACGAACAGCAAATGTTTCTCTCCTCTGACTTTATCAACACCTTTTCCTTTATACCATGGGTAACTTAGTAAAAATAGAAACATTAGGTAGAGAAGCTTTAAGTATCCTGAAACCTGTATAGTGTGTCATTGAATTATCTATCCTTCTTCTTTGGTGACTGTGCACAGTAAAGGAGTTTGTTGTTATGTAAGTTAGACTGGATGGATTTCGCACACCGACAACGATCCTGAAGCATCAGTCCTTCACAGGCATGCAAAAGACACAAGTTAGGCAGAGAAATCGAATTTGGCAATAAGCCAAGCTTAAATCACAACTGGAACACATCACAATGCTAAGAATAAGATGGGGAGCTGAGTCCTCAACCTGGATGGGGGATGTATACCAAGGGAAATTGAGGAAAGGAGTGGGAGACAAGACCACGACAGCCAGGCATGCTGTGTTCTAGGTATGCCTTACATAGCCACGGGAATCAAGCAGAGAGTGAAGCTGTGATCACCTGTGGAACACACACAGAGACGCACACAGTAGAAGGGGGCTAGTTGGGAAGACAATATTCAACAGGGATGGGAGAGGGAGAGATAAGGAGTAGTAATGGGGGCAGCTTTTGGACACTCGGGCTCACAACTACCAGCAGTACTTTTCGTCTGAAATGTCACGCTAACATGGTGGTCTGGTAACTGTGTAAATAGATTTGTTGCTCCCGGAATGTCTGGGCTTATAATGATCCATCTCTTTCCCTTCTCTGTAACCATCATCCTTAACGTGGGGAAGTCCTTGGAAAACATCCTTCCCCACATCCTGAAGCTCTGCCCAGACCTTCAGAAACACATTCATCCAAACCCCAAACCTTCCAACTGGATTTGACCCTTGTTTGGCAGTGGGGCAGGAGGGTGGTGCTTCTGATGTGCTCGGAGAGGGCCTGGGTGTGGGGGAAGGGGTTGTCCTCACCGCTGATTGGGCTTCCGCATCCACTTGGCCCTCCCACATTCCTTCCTTCTCAGAAACTCAGATTCCAAGGTGGATATGTCAGAAGCCCATTTGGAAGCCACATTAGAATAGGAGTCCTTTGGAAAAGGCCAGTGTTGCAGAAGAGTTCGTTTAAGGACATTTACAAGGGAGGCCATCAATCAGATAAAAGCAACTGCCAACTTTCAAGTCCTTCCCATTAAGTCGTCTTCACTGGGAAGTAGAAAACACCCAATTTCAGAAGGCAGTCTTGCTTTTTCCCTTTTGTCATGTAATTGTACACCTTCCCCCAAGCGCGAACTATCTCCTTATCACAATCACAGACCACACTGTCCTGTCTGACTGACATCTAGCCTTAGTGAACATTGATCTCCTAAACAAGTCCCCTTACTTAAAGTAGGGATTACTGCAGAGGCTAATCGGAACTCCTGAGTGAAGGTAGAGGCTGGGTGTCTTGGAAGATGCACTTAAGCAGATCTCTACTTAGTGGCAAGTCGTTTATGAGAGAAGCAGAGCCACCAGCAAACCGCCCTTCGACCTGTCTCCTTAATCCCAGAGCTGGGCACCCACCTGCTGCACCTACCTCTCGGGTGAACAAGATGGCAGCATCGTAGTGCTCCTCATGGTCGTCACCTAGCTGGTTATGTTGGTGCTGCCATTTGCAAAAGTTCTTGAGGGTCGTGGCCGCATTCTTGCTCACCTCCAGACTCTTCTCCTTGTCTGTCAGCACCACCACCTTCACCACCGCCAGGCGGATGTGGTTCTCGATGCTCGCATGACTATACAGCCGGTTGGCGATGGAGGCCAGGGTCAGCAGGTAATGTTGCAGGCCCCGCCCATACATCCTGGCCATGGACGAGTCAGCCACCAAGAGGAGCTCCACCTGGCGGGCCCTAGAGATGGAACGGCGCCTCCGCCTCCACCACGTCTGAGGTCCCGCGTTCCCAGCTGGCGAGAAAGCTGAGTGGTCCAGCAGCTGCGGGGACGGTTCTGAGCGTCGCCTAGAACGACTGTGCACCGAGGGGCTCTCTTGGGGCCCAGAAGGGGACGCGGGAGTCTCGCAACTGGCGCGTGGCGGCAGGGCCTCGAAACTGAAGCCCTCACGGGTGTAGACATGGAAGACGCGTGAAGACCCATCCCCGTAAATTCGTTCGTACTCTGCCCAGGACCCACGCAGGAGCGGCTTCAGAGTGTAGCGTGCATGCTTGACTGCGAAGAAGCCATTGAGACCCCCGCAGAGGTCAAAGACAGCTAGGGAGCGAGGGCTTCCGTCCACAGTGCCTCTATAGAAGCAGTGACCCCGGTGGCTAGAGGATGCGCTCAGCCCTCCTCCTGCAGTAAGAATACCACCAGCAGCACCCACTGTGTCATCCCTCTCCAGGTCCAGCATGAACCTCCGGCCTCCCGCGTAGACAAGGTAGCCCACTTTGCCACCGCCAGAGTAGAGTTGGTCTATAATCTGCACCAGCCCGCCGCTCCTGCGCTGCCCAGCCAAAGGTTGAGGATGACCCTGCTCCTGTGTTTCCTCCCACTGCCGCTGGTCGGGCTGGGCGGCCGCTGCAGCAGCCCCAGGCTGCCTGGTTTTATCCTGGGCAGGTGCCTCGGCGGGGCTGTCAGCGGCCAGGGACAGGCAGGACGCGCACAGCAGCAGCAGCAGTAGCAGCAGCAAGGACGCCCACTCGAGCCGCATAGTGCGCTGCCCGCCGGGAGGGGCTGCGCGACTGAGCGGAGCTGATGTTTGCTATTTGCTATGGAAGTTTCAGGGGCGGGGGTGGGGGGCTCACCCTCCCATCCACCCACCCACAGCCGCACACTCTACACACTTGCGTGCAAGGTTGAGTCAAGTGTCCAGAAAAGGGTAGGGGGAACCCGCAGTAGAGCGCCAGCCTGTCCTGGCCGCGGTGCCAGCGTGCGAACTTTTCTTTGTTGGTTTGGAAAATGTTTGGAATTGAGGTCCAAGAGACGGAGGAGGAAAAAAAAAATTAAAAAATAATAAAAAATTAAATAAAGGGTGGTGGTGATGGGAGCAAAAGCCAGGAGGTGGAGAGCAAACAAATTAAAAAAAAAAAAAAAGGAGAGAGGCCCAATGCAGAAAGGATCTTTGCACAAACAGATGAAAACAAACGAGCAAAGAGAGTAAGGAGGGCAACGGCGCTCCCGGCCCGCAACTGGTGCGCGTCGGCTCCCGCCCCCTCGAAGCCCGGGGCTGGCCGGCTGCGGAGCTTCCAGCTCCGACCCACTTCCTTTCTTATTTTCAGGACTTCCTCGGCTCTGCTGGAACCCGAAGGCAGGGAGAAATGAGACGGGAGGAAAGAAAAGAAAACACCTAAAACGTTTAAAAATCAAAAGCTAGGAGGCGGCCTGCGGAGAGCCAGCGAGGCGGCGTGTCCCGATCCCTTCCGTTGCCGCGTCCTCCCGCCCGGGATCATCCCCAGTCGGCTGCTGCGGGCGCGGAGAGCGGCTCAGGCGCTGTGAAGATGCGAGGAGGTGGGACAATGAATTTATAGCGGCGTGCCATCCTGCAATGGCAATTTCAACAATTCGTCACTGCACGCTGCCTCTTAAAGGGAGAGCTTCCCCCACCACTCCCACCCTTCCCGGTCCGCGCCTAATCTGATGGGGGAGGGCGCAGGCAGAGGAGGAGGGTGATCGAGGAAAGGGAGATCAGGAAGGAGGAAGGGCCCAGAACCTAGCAAGGTGGAAAGAGGGACAAAGGAGGGAGCAAGGGTGAGTGAGGGATTGAGAGAGAAAAAGTATTTGGGCAGAGAACAAGAAAATTCACTTGCCCTCATTTAAAGCCGCAGGAACTCCGGGTCTGTGTGGTATTTCACAACCAATCGGAGTTGGCTAACCTAGGCTTACCTCATCTCCTGAAGGGGTGTTTTTGGTGTATTTTCAAAGTCTCTCCCTACTGCCTCCTTTCCCTTGCTGTTCTTGCGCGGGATATGAAGTTCTTGCCTCCTTTTGCTGGCCGTTGCGCTCTGGCCTTGTAGACCTGGTAATTTCACTGGTCAGGGCAGCCACCCGTGCACCCTCAAGTCCATCTCTACTTTCCCTGGCTCCCTCCAGTCGGTCCCAGTAGCTGATTTCCAGCCTTCTCATCTCCTAGCTTGTTGAAGCCCCAGCACTTGCTGACTTCGGGCTAAGGGTGACTAACTTCTCCCGGCCACCAGCTGAGCAGCCGGGCAGCCACGGGTGCTTCCTGGCGCGTCTCTGGGCATGCAGCACTGCGGTGACCCCAACAGGGCCGGCTGCGGCCTGGGAAGTCCTTGGCTTTGTGTATAAATGGCGGTGCTCCCAGCTTTTTCCAGTGCATAGTTGGTCAGTGCCCACAATCTGTCACTTATCCCAGCCACTGGAACTCTCTGAGCTGTAGGATGTCAGGGTGGGAAAGAGTTAACTCTTGAAGGGAATTCTGCACCCCCACCCCAGACTTTTACATTTGTGCTCACACTTTTTTCCCTTTCTTTCTTAATAGGTAATTAAATGGCAAACACTCCTATGTTTGTTTACTTTCTATGTGGTCTCCTCTCTCCTAAGTCAGCCACTCACTATTGGTCCCCTCATTTTCAAAGCTCCTATTCCCATGGAAGAATACTTGAGGGGAGGTGATTGGTGGTTATTAGTAAGCAGGTGGGATGACCCCTGCTACTCGGTCCCTTTATTTCCTCTAATCAGTTCTAAGAAGGTGAAAGGAAAATGCAGTGACTTTCTCACTGCAGGCTGATGTGTGGCAGGTTCAGTGTTGGTCTCTGCACACACCCCACGTAATTTAGACATTTCCATCCCTTTTAACTTCGCTGCTTCAGAGGAGAGCAGGCACACTAATACAGCTCCCCCAAATGTTGCATTATCCAGGAAGGTACAATGAGGCCCAAGACTGGAGAAGGCAAAAACAACAGTTAAAGTAAAAGAGGGCATGAATTTGAGAGAGAATAAAGTATGTGTGTGGGGGGCGGACATGGGAGGAGTCAGAGAGAGCCTGGATGTATCCTGAAATAGGACGCTGCTGAAGCACTTGCATTTCCGTTCTCAAGATGCTCAGGTAGATTTCCTGTAGTCAACATCACAAGGCAATGGGCAGGCATTAAAGGCAAAGAATGGAGGATCTTCTCCATTTCCCAGTAACCTTCAGCTTTATGATGAGCAAGGCCACTCTGGAGAAGATGACCTGAACCTCCTTGTGTATAGTGATCAGAATGAGAATGGCCTCCGTAAGCTCATATGTGTGGTCTCCAGTTGGTGGGAAAGTTTGGGAAGAATTAGGAGGTGTGGCTTTATTAGAGGCGGTGCATCACTCAGGGGAAGTTTTCTCTGCTTCCAACTTTGGAATCAAGATGTGAGCTCTCAGTTGATCCTGCCATCATGGACTCAAACCCCCTGAAATGATAAGCCCAGTAAAACATTTTTAACTTTAATTATTTTATTTTGAACTGATCATGGTATTTTTGTCACAACAATTGGTAAATAACTAAGATACAGATTTTATTTCTTTTATACCACTTTCAGAAAGAGAAATAAAGTACAGTGTTTGGCATCAAAGTCTCCAAAACAACTTTTATTTGAAGCATGCAACTTAATCATCTGTGTCTTAAAGGATCATTTACAAGACAGGTGTTTCAGGTGACCCTGGGGTAAGGCTATTAACTACAATTGTTTTCATTTGTGGTTAGATTCCTTATGAAGAAGATTATAGAATTTCCCAATGACTTTGTCCTTACTGAAGCCTTTTGTCATCTCTGAAAATGTGTTGCTCTCTTAAAGGGACTCAACCTAAATTTCATGCCTTCGAGTCTGATAAATGAATGACATTAGAATTCAGACCAATTAAGCAAATGTTTGGAAATATGCTAAGAGCAGATTTGTTTTTGAAATATGGGCATAAAATAGTGTTTATTGGAAGTACTTATCACAAGGATAGGGGAAGATAGAGCTTGAGATACAACGAGTAAATTCTTGGTGAAAGAGGTTTTTTTCCCCCTTTCCTTGGCTATGTATTTAATTTCCATGGAAGATACTTGTCCACTCTATAAACATCATTACTATTTGAATCAAAGACACTGTACCAGTGAACCAGTGCAATCTGAAATGTTCTATAACAGAAATTAACCAGTATTAATTTACAACAGTATTTCAGTAGTTAAAATAGCAGTTTTGCAATAAGAAGAAAAAAAATATTGTCTACCATGTTTGGCTCTAGCCATTGATTACTTTTTTGCTTTAACAGCTTTTGTGTGTGTGTGTGTGTGTGTGTGTGCATTCAATTTCCATTCTCGAATCCAGATAGCTCCTGGGAGAGTGCACGCTACCTGCTGGGGCCAAAGCAGTATAGCCCAAACTTACTTACCGCTGCAGGGATAGTGTAAGGTATCTACCATTTAGCTGGGCAGTCACAAGCTGACGATGCTTCCATGAAAAGTGACTACTAGTGACACACTCTCCCCAGACTGAAATCTCCTAACTCTTAATTATGTCCAATCATAAGCCTACGCAGCTTATGAAAATACATGTCAAGGTGTGAAAGGCTTTGTGAGACTCTCTGGGGACTTGTGAAGGTGGATAAGACACGATTGATGTCTGTAAAGAATTCACAGTTCAGAAATGAAGCCAAGAAGATCAATACGTGTTTCGACTCCAACCTGGAAAATGCAAATACAGAAAGGAAGAAGGAGAAGAGCACCTACAGGTGCTCTGTGTCCTGTTTCCAGTATGGCTACACTCCACAGCATTTTGGCCTTGGTAAATAGTATTTTCTTGAATTTCCATTTGCTAAAGTGTCAAATCCTCATCTCTACCCTAAACCATGGTTTTAATGGTGAGAGTGAGGAAATACCTGACAGTAAAATATTGCCCTACAGCCAAACACCTGCTTTTTACCTCCCACAGGGAAGAAATCACAGCCTCTCAACTCTATTTTGCTTTCCCACATCAAGATGTCTACCCCAGGCCTTGCTGCCTTTGGAACCTCCTCCCTTGGTTCAAAGAACATGGACTCTGTCAACGGTAATGTCTTACTGCATGGCACGATTTTATATGAAGTGAAGGGAGCCTCTTCTTCCTGTGTCACTTTGACTTGCAACATTCTAAGAGAGTTTCCAGTTAGACTACAGCCGTAGGGCAGGGATGTATGTGCTATTCTAGCTTGGACACGAGGCCAGGATCTGTAGAGGGTTGTCAGAGAATCTGCTGTTGAATAATCTTCCTTTTCCCATTTTCCACTCTTCTCATTTCTTGTATTCCTCAATGCAGGCATACATCTGATGACTAGCACTGTTCCAGAGTCTCACACACAACAAGCATACTTAATGAACACATGTATGCAGATACACTCATTCCAACTCATGTTCCCTCTAGACTATGCTGCTAGGTGAATACTGACTCAGAGCTCAGATAAGTAGAAGAGCTTAGATCACTTGCTCTTTCTCCCTCACAAAGACAATATTGTTGAGACTTGCATGGTACAGATTTTTTTCTTCTTCTTTAAATATATTTTTATTGTATATTTTCTTAATTTACATTTCAATGATATATCCTTTCCTGGTCCCCCCCCCCAGAAGTCCCCTATCCCATTCCCCTCCTCTTCTAAAAAACAATGACTTCATGAAATTCTTAGGCAAAAAGGTGGAATTAGAAAATATTATCCTGAGTGAGATAACCCAATCACAAAAGAACACACATGGTATACACTCACTGATAAATGGATATTAGCCCAAAAGCTTGGAATACCCAAG